GCTTTTTTCTTTTTGCTTATGTGGTGCTGAGGAATCGAACCTAGGGCCTCATGCATGCAAGGCAAGCGCTCTACCACTGAGCCACCTTCCCAGCCCACACTCTACATTTTTAAAGAGAGGTTTCTTCTGAGTTCTAGCTCCCTCTTGCAGCATCTTACCCAAATCAAACACAGCCAGGGTAGCAAGAAAAACACTTGAAGATGTGAAATCCCAGGCCAGTAAACTGCTGACGTTTTGCATATTTTAGACTTGAGTTAAGAAACATTCAAATTTACCAACAATTCTCTCATCTTCACATTAGCTCTGGGCTACAACAAATTTATGAATTCCAGAAACCATTTCTTTAAATTAGCTAAATGGTTTATAATAAGCAAGGAAAAATAAGCAGGATCACCTGAAATAAATTAAGAATCTTTGTGTATCTTCAGGTGTGAAATCAGTGAAGGATAAAAACCAAAAGTGGAAGGGTTAAACATTTGGGGGAAGGAGTATCTGTCCTTGACTTAAATTTTTAAAAAGGCCCAGTTTAAGACAGTGCTACTTTGTTAACCAAGATGAGTACATTTTCAGTTTTTTACATTAAAAAGCATTTAAAACAGTTTTACTCAATGCTTTCAATTAGAAATGAAGTTTCTTGTGATCGTGTACCTGTGACAATGATTTTTAAGGTCTATAGATAATCAGATATATGTGTACAGGAGTGAAAATTCCATTTTGGTACCGTAATAGAAATACTACAACAATGAAGAGTCCTCATTAATACATGATAGCAGCTATTTAAAAAAAAATTCTTTATCAGTCTCTCTTCCTATGTACTGTAGGTATACAGCTGACCACAATTTGTTGTAACAAAATGCCTTTTTGGACGGTTAGGTGAAGGGTTGTGTCCTCTGATGGAGGAACGGAAGTGGAGTGGGGGAGCTAAGTGCCACAGGTGCACTACTTTGGCCTGAAGCATTACATCACAAAGCAGTTGCAGAAAGAAAAATCTTTGCAATCACAGATGTTGTTCTATCAATGCTGCCAAAGAGGCTTTTAAAGCACAGACAGACAGACATTCTTATATTGCATGCAGGACAGTGTGATACAGAGTATTGCACTTGTTAATGTCACGCTTGCCATCATTTCAGTATCCATAAAATTTTCTTAGAAGGCACATACATGAAAAAGCAAACCTTTAATTGTATAAATATAACTTTAAATATATTTTAGCAAAATATTTTCAACTAATTTCAATGTCTTGAATTTCAATGTCTCTCCTTCACACACATGTGTGAAGGAGAGAGGTAAGGAGGGAGGGAGGGAAGGGGACACGGGAACCCAGAGGAAACACATAGCTCTAAGTGTCTTCTCTTTCCCTCTAAAACCACCCAATATGGTCAACATTGTTTTTGCTTTGACTTAAAGTGTTAGATTTAGGAAATTTTCCTCAGAGAGGAACAAACACAAAGCAGGAAGTCTATAAACAAAAACAAATTAAATCAAGACATGAACATCAAAAAACAATTTTGGCTTTACTTTTCCGTGGAAGCTGGTCCTATATCTAACACTGCACAAGGGTTCTTGCACAATGAAAAGAGAAGCAGAAGCCCCTTACACTGCCTCGCTTTGCCAGAGAATCACCGTAGTCTGCTGGCAAAGTCCGCTTGCTGGACTTTTTCTGCTCATGTTCAACTGCATCTTCAATTATAGGCTCAAGCCTCATCTGGACAAACACCAAAGATTGGGATCAATGTCTTTTAATTATACAAAGAAAGATCTAATACCCTGTTTCATGTCTTTGCAGTCCAATTAAATAAATGTATGACCAACAGGATTTAAAGTTAAAGGAAATGCAAAACCCCAGCAGTGACAAAAATTGGACATTCTAGGCCCCGACTTACTCTCTTGCCAATGTCAGGGTTTGAAGGTCTTATTTCTGAGACCTGATTGGGATTTCAGCATCTTCATTCAAAATCCCACCCAGACCACTAATCCATAAAAATAAAAAATCCCAATTTTTAAATAAAACATTTCCCCACAAATTTTTCAAAGAATGTCATGTCAATCTGCCACCCAATCATCCCACCCCCTTTGTTGTGAAACTCATCTGAGAGGTAGTGCTAATACGCAATCCTCTGCTTTTCTTGCAAAACCAAATGCTAGTCATTACCTCAGTGAGGATTGTGGTGTCATAGGATGGTTGATACTTTTCTTTCTCATGAGCTGTTCTCTTTTCCATCTTTTCTCGGTCAGTTTTTTGTTTCCTATCTGCACCTTTAGGCTTAAAGACAAAGTAGACCATTTTATTTAGCAGGCCATCAATATTGTAACAAATGGAATATTGCCAACAGTCTGGTTTCTACCTCTTACCTTAAAAACTTTGATTTGGCAGCTAGCTGAGTGAAGGTGATCTGTGTATTCCCCACTTTCATTCTGCTTGAAAGTGTCAACCTGGATTCTGAAAGGTACTCCCTTTTCACCTCCATGTTTCCGTGGAGTAAATTCTGTGCTGATACAGTGGACCTGTAAAACAATGAGCTGAAATGGACTCAAAGAACCTTATACTGAGTGCCTTCCTACTCTGGTCTCTCTTGGATGTCCTGCTACCACCACACACCCTTTCAAGACCCTTTTAAACAGACTCCAATATATTAATCAACTTATTTCATAAATTTCTTGAATTGTGTTCAATATATAGCTTTCCAAAAATCCAACCATGAGTTTCTGGACTTGCTAATGAGCTCTTCCTACATTGCCATGCCTTTCCTTTAACAAAATACTTCAACCAGGAAACCAAGAGCACAGCAGCTTCCTATGCACATTACCCACCTCCATCCTGGAAAATATACTCCTGTTGGCTGAGGGTTGTGAGCCCTGTCCATCCACAGAGTCTGTTTTCCCTACTGCTACTAAGCCTGTACCAGCTAGCTGGTCATCCTGCTGCACACATCCTGCTGCTTCTGCACACACGGAGAACTTCTAGCAGCCTACAAAGCCTATTACTTGTCCTACCTGACAATACACATAAACGCTTCAGGGCAACCCTTGAAAGTACATTCTGCTTCCTCCCAAATACTACTGTGGAATAATAGCCTCATACAGTTACTGGCAATACCATGGTCATTTCTGAATGCTACATACACCTCAGTAAATGTCTCACATTATATGAAAATCGATCTTACCATATGCAAAACCTGAGACTGAAAGTTATTATGACATATCTTGTATCCTACATGACAAACATCAATAACATGGGAAAATATTCCACAAATATGAACCATGTTCACAGTAATTGAGGGGAAATATCCGATAAACCATCAAAATACAGCATGCTAATGATTTTTTTTTTGGGGGGGGTCCGGTCGTGGGGCCTGAACTCTGGGCCTGGGCACTGTCCCTCAGCTCTTCAGCTCAAGGCTAGCACTCTACCACTT